GAGTGTCTCTTTCTTGGCCACCGTCAACTTCTTCTTGTTCCTCTTCATCATAGCACTCTTCCACCTTGTCCCCAAGCCACTAGGCCTTGATGGTGGCACCACAACAAGTGCTGATGACGATTCTTCTTTCTGCATAAAAGTCTTCACATAGTTTTCTAAGCTCCTCTTTGTCCTCTTGATTGCCACCACGAGCCTTGCCACCGCAAGTGGCCTCCTCTTTGCGGGCGAGCTTCAGAATCTCTAGCCTGTGCTTCGCTATGGAGATGCCCATGCTTTGGAGAAACTCGTGGTTGAAGTAAAACATGTCTTCTTCTTCAAGCTCGTTGTGAGCCAAGGTCAGACCATACTCGTACACTAGGGATGGCTCTAGACCAGTTTTTGAAAGCCATGAGAACCAATCCATGTCTGCTCAGTTTATGGAACGTCTTTTGATTTCAATCCACCTTTCTTATTTATATATACAAATATAGATTATGTCAGAGAAATACTTCAAAGTCACCAACACATATTCATCATTATAATAATAAATACTTTATATCAATTTCAATATAAAAATATGAGAAAATTATGCCATAGTACCCTCAAAAGTTTTATGAAATTGGACAAGCTTTACGTTAATTTTAAGATTTACATTGATATTGTTATGGGGAAACATAATTTAATATTTATTAAATAATTAAAAAGTTAATGTAATATAAAAGAGTTTGTCAGTATAATATTTTAAAGAAAAAAGAAAGAAAGTTAGTATAAGGATAGAAAAAAAAATAAAAATTAATGTTATCTTGTGAAATCTAGTAAAATGTTTGTGTAATTTACTATAATAAATATAGAACAAAAGGAAGGACGGTAAAGAAAAATTTAAAGATAATTAAAAAAGGTTAAGTATGAGGATTGAGGAGTGACTTTGGGGTTTGAACTTTGTAAGGGGGTGGCTATGCTTTTAATAAAAATAAAAGGTATTTTGTTGAATGTTGAGATAGTAATAGTATGAAGGCATGTGAGGGCATGTAAGCCATGTTCACTGTTTGCTGCAAAATGAGGGCCAAGTGTGAGACTTTGATTTTGAGGAGTGTGAGACCAATGAATTTCATTTTCATGTGAACATGTTATGTTATGTTATGCCGACAATCAAGGCTTGGACGACGTCGATGACCACCCACACAATTTTTGGCGTATATATGTAATAAGAGCTTTCAAATTAGGCTTTTTGTTTGTATATATGAAGTATGCTTTTGCAACCAAAGGTTGTGAATTAATATGATTGATCTCAATCAAATGTAGGTTTAAGTGGTGAAGAATTTTTGTTTTTCTTTATTGAAATTCTGTAAATAGAAAAATAGGCAAATTAATTAAAGCCTACCGTGATTTTTCAACACTGAAGATTTAATAAAAAAGAGAAGTAATTGATTTGCCGTTGCTTCTGAATATTGTCCATGTTGTCCCAAGTAATACGCTCCAAGAAAAATATTTATTACACTACTAGAATTTTTTTTATTACATGCGAATTTTCTTGCGAATTTTCATGAAAAATTCGTAGGAAACGTTATTCTTGCAAATTTTCCTGCAAAATTTTATCTGCAGGTAATATCTTCGTAGATAATATTTTTTTGCAAATTTTAAAATTTGTAGAAAATTTTCTTGCGAAATTTCTTGTGAAAAAAATTTGCAGGAAAGTTTCCTGCAAGAAAATTCGCAAGAAAGTTTCCTGCGAATTTTTCGCAAGAAATTTTGCAGGAATATTTTTTACGAAAAAAAAATAAAGAAATTACTATAAATTCTATTAATAATTTTTCAACTTTCAAATGCTCGCAATAAATTCATCCGAAGCATTTGTTTCCATGCCTCTAACATGTGATACATAATCTTTTAAATTCTAAGATGATAGATTATAAGTCTAACACTCAACCATATAAATCAACTTGTAAGGTAAGTGTTGCCCCAACTTATATACTCTTTAATTTCTTTATTTTCAATCGATGTGAGACTTGAAGTTTTTTTAAAATATTAAAATTATAAATTCAAATATTTTTTTTTTATTTTTCCTGCGGATTAAAATTTGCAGGAAAATTCGCAGGAAAAGTTACCTGCAAAATTTTTCTATCATTTAGTAAACATTACTTGCGAATTTATTTTTGCAAGAAAATCTGCAAGAAACAAAATAAAATTCTTACAATATTTTCTGCAAATTTTTACCATGGAAAAAAATTTCTATGATTATTAAAATTGTAGCAAAATTTGTAAGAAATATCTGTAAATTATTTTTCGTAAATAAATTTGCAAAAAATTTCTGCCAATATTTTTTTGCAGGAAAATTTGCAAGAAAGTGACACTTTTTTAGTAGTGTTATTTTCAAAAATTAAAAAGATAATTAATTTTTAATAATAATTTGTACGGTCCATATATAATTTTCATGGAAGATAATTATCTTCAAACCAATCAAAACATCATAAATACTAAGACTCTCTTTTAGTATATATATTTTAACAACTACAGTAAAAGTTTGAACTCAAAACTACTTATTTAAGTGAAAAACTCACACTAGTTAATTCTATATTCTTTTATCTATAAAAATTACAATAACAATAATAATATTTGAATATATAATTTTGTAGATATAATTTTAATGTTCATTATTAGAACAATCTTGATTAATCCTTATATATTAAATTCAAGTCACTTTTTTATGTGAGAATGTTTTTTTTAAAAAAAAATTAACTTTATATAAATTTGATTTTATTTTGTCATAATTATTTATGAAATAAATATTAATATTTTAAATAAATTATTAATAAATAATTTTTTTTTGCTACAATATAAAATATTTATGATAAATTTAAAATATAATTTATATGTTTAAAAATATTTATTAATATAAATTTTGAATATAATTTATACAATTAAATATAATATTTTTATATATGTAATTTATTATAAACTTTAATTATATGTAATAAACATATATCTATGTATTACACAGGCTACAATACTAATTAATTAATCAATTCTCTTCATATATAGAGGTGTTTTAATTTGTTAAAAGTATTTTATGGTAATAATCTATATAATTAATCATTTTCTTAAAATATACATAATGTAAAAGACAAATAATGAAAGAGTTTGATGTTGTGTGCCATCATAATCGAAAATCGAAATAGCCTCTAATCTATGAGCACAATATTTGTGTGATTCGTCTAAATGTTTGGATTTGTTTAATTATGCGCATCAGCGTCGGGTTGTTTCTTTGAGACTTACATTAATCTTCTTCTCTTTCTCTGAATTATATGAAAGATATTACGAGCATGTAATTCAAGTTAATATGTGTAATTTCTTTAATTTCAGAAAGATTAATAACAATGTTTTGGCCACTCAAACTATATTACTTTCATATGTCAGTGTCGGTCACCGCGTGAATTTCTTTCTTTCTTTATTTCAAAAGCATGTTAGTGTTTCAGTAACTTCCAAAATTTAATGATTCTTTTCCTAAAACTAAAGTGCACCTAAAATTTAAAACACAAAGTAATGCATAACTTATGCTGACTCATTATAATATTTTTTTAAAGGAACTTTTCTGGGTTTTTTTTTTTATTATTAACAAGAATCGTTGAATTTAAATTCTTGTACATTTATCGTATATTTCCGTTAAAGTCAATCTTAATAGTTCTTTTTATTGTGTTTATATATGCATTATAATCCAAAACAACTGGATTGAGATGATGATAGTTTTTTTTTTCCATCAACATGTATCTACGTAGTTGCAATTTAAAGTTTAAAAAAAATATATACTGTTATAATTTTTTTAACATCATTTTGTACACATTATTTATATACATATATAACAATAATAATGAAAATTGAACTTAAGTTTTAATATATATCTCTTCCAATCTCTTTATCACTAAATCAACCTTAATAATTATTTTATTAAATGTTTTAAATAACTTAAAATAATTTTTTATCAATAAAAAGAGATGAAACTGATTTTTTTTACCAAAACATAAGATTTAATATTTGCTAATACATTAAAATGAAGTTTTATAAGAAATATTTATTTACCGGTTCTTTACTATTGTCCGAATAAAACCATATTTTAAAAAGTAAGCATTGGATTTATTTGATATAATTAATATATACTTTCAGATATTTTTACTTTTAAATTCTAAAAATTGGAATAGCTGGTCCAACCCTAATAAATGACTCAGACACTATCCATTGTCTCCCAATGGTTGTTTGTGTCTTTGTTTTGCCTTTACGAACATGCTCCTATCAATTAAAATTTGGATCCATGCAGGTTCACGAGCACAAATAAAATATCAGACCACTATTCCCATGTGAATATGTTATATATCCTTAGGGTTCGTATATAGTCCAATTCAAGGTGAAATGATGATACTCATACTCCCATAACCATCGATCACATTTTCCCTCGATTCATTTCCTCAATATTCCTTAATTATTACACTAATAATTTGTAAATCAATTGATAATAATTGGGCCCATTTTTTGTTAGATGTTTTATCATTCTTTTTACTCATCTCTTTTGAAAAGAAAATACTTATATATCTGCCATTTGAAAATTCCAAGATAATATAATTAAATCCTATCCTCATTAGAAAAATAGAGAGAAAATAATAGTGTATGGAATGTCAAAGTAAAATAAGATAGATAAAAGAATGAGTTTTATTTTAATTAATATATTGTTAGTGTAAAAAAATTACCATTAACAAATTAAAAAATACTTTAAATATGACTTCTAAAATAATAATTACAAATGTTAATAGTTTTTTCGTTGAGCCATACCATTTTTCGGTGAGCAGAAATGTTATTGAAGTTGAGTTTGGAGATTTTGATGCAAACAAAAGTGAAAATAGTCCATGAATTAAATGTAAAGGTATAAATTAATCAAGGTTTAGATCTCGCAACACTTCGTGTTAGTATTAATTAATGCTAATGAAAACAGCAGATTAAATAGATCTATGTGTTTGGTTCAAAGCACCAGTCAAATTGAATATAATCATGTGTGTCAAACTAATTAATGACCAGAGTTAGTATATGTACAAACATCAATGTTATGGAAACCCATATTCTAAAAAAATATGGTCATATTTGTGTGCACGGTATCATTTCAGCATTGTGCAAACCCAACTGCTTTGTATACGCGTGTTTGATTATGGAAATAGACATCATAATTAACCTTATTTATGGGCATTAACAAGTGTAAATTAAGCATTAACTTTGTTAACCAAATCATACTTTTTAACAATAAACAAAGCCAAATTTTCCAAAATTATAATTGGTAGTTAATTATGGGTGGAAGCAGCTAAGTCAGGCCAGGTGAACAAGTGATGAGAAGTTGAAGGAAAAATATGAAGAGATAAATTCAATTCTCATTATTATATTTTTTTTTCTAATAATCAAAAATCAATATAGTGTGAACAAGTGTTTTCTTCAATTATATATGTATGTGTGTATTAATTGATTGATCATAAAAAAAAATGCTAATTGACAAGGCACCTTAGCAATTAGCATGATATGACATAAAATCTGGACCATGTGAGTTGCGTGATGTTAGATACAAGTACTCATGTTTAACTACTGTTGCTTACTTTCATAATATTATTTATGGGATGAAGATACCCCATGTTACTGCATTTAAAAGGAAAAGTAGATGTGTTATCGAGATTTGAATACCACTAACAAGTTGTTCTCAATATCTTATTACTTTTGACGTGTCTCATTATTAATGAGAGCATTACTTTTGTTGAATATTAAAAAAAATGAATTATACTAGACTAATTGTTTATGATGTTCATGATTTGATAGATTGATTATTAGGAAAAAAAATATTTATCTGATTATAAAAATAAATTGCAGCTTAATTTAGAGTAATTTAAATATTAAAAGTTTGATCTAATTTGATGATTTTATGGCTTAGATCAAATTAGGTCATTTGATGTTTATGGCTTAGATCTTGAGGGTTTCACCACCGAAGTCTAATTTAAAGGATTCTTCAAGAGATAATGATTGACATGTGTTTTACTGCCCAAGCCTAATTTAAAGAGGGCTTCAAGAGATCATGATAAACTTGTATTAATTTTACCGAAAAATAATACATGTGTTAACTTAAGATAACTGAATAGTATTATTTAACTAACCAAGCTTTCATTCTGTTCTCCACAAACCGAAAAAGGTTTATGTGGATTAATAGTTGGAACATACTTAGATAGGAATCTTTATCTTCATGAAAATCTAGAGCTCATTTAGATAAACTTTTTTATAATTATTTATAAATAATATAATAATAAAATAAATTATTTTTTTCTAAAATTTAAAATTAATTTATACATAAACTAATTTAATAAAAATATCCTTTACTAATTTTTTCAAAATATATTTTTTAACTAAAGTATAAGCTAATTTTAATAAAAATTTAATAGTGATACATGATAAAATAAAATAATTTTAAACTACCAATCAACCAAATTTCACCATTGATATGACTTTTTAGTTATAATAAGAGTTAACAATGGTAGTTTATAATTGAATAATAGGATAAAATTGTTTTAATCAGTGTATCATCCATTTTCTCTTTTATCAAATGAAAAAACATTTTTATTTTCTTCTCCTTATGAAAAAGTTTATCAGCACATACCCTTGGTCCCCTACTCCTTAGAGAAGCCAAATCAGTGAATTATGGTATTGCAACAAACATGGGTTCCAACAATTTAGCATTGTTTTAAAGCTAAAGATAAGGTATTCCAGAAGTCTAAAAAAGAATGCAGGGAGGCAAACATAATTAAACACGTAACAACAAACAATCAAACAAAGTTACATATAAGATTCAGAAAAAAAAATAAAAAAAATAAAAAAAATAAAAAATAAAAAATAAAAAATCATAAAAATAGTCACCTCCTTAAAGCCGAGACAGCTAGCACAACTTCGGAAAGGATCAAATCTATGAAGCAAATTGTTTGCATTCTACTTTGAATGTAATACCGAAATACCGTTAATAGTAAATGTTACCATTGTGCATGATTCTTATGCAATGCCGCGTTGTATTGTATTGTAGTGTGGCGTGTGCAGGGCCCTCCTGTATTATTTCCTAGGCAAATATAAACCCGATTCACAAAAAGACATTTTATAACAAGCCAACAAGTAATTTTCTACTGAAAATGTTTCTAGTAGAACCAGCTTTGTTCAAATAGTGATTAAAATCAAGTTCAAATGTTTCAAGTAACAAGTATTAACAGCCCACTGTTGGGAGAAAAAAAGGGTAGATAGAAAATAACTAAAACACAGATTTTCTTTTGGAAAATGAAAACAAATCTTGGAAACGAGCCGGTTAACCAATTGTATGAATGTTACAAAATGTTACAACACCATCCTTGGGTAAAATCAATGAACAAAAAAGATAATACTAGCATAAAGAACAGAACTGTATACATAGCTACATCTGTGGCAAACTAATCAGCCACAAATTCCTCTTGTACCGAATCAATTGGTCATCATTCCTCAAAATTCAAGGACTTTTTAAGGTTTATGTGCATCTCATATCCTATATATCATATCCGGGGCAAAAATACTTATCCCATATTATAGAAAAATCCTGTCACCCCCTATCTTCTACTGTTTGAACAACATTGCAGCAGAGCCAATGAACAAATGCTGCGTACTCAAAAAATCACCACATGAAAAAGAAACCAAATTGTGACTAAGACTTACTCTCAAGGCTATAGATATTGCCAACAACACCTACTATGCTAACAGTCACAGCCAATACCAACATTATCCATGATAAAACCCATTCTCCACGGCTTAAATCCCCCTGATGCCGTAATCTCAATGAAACAAGTGAAGGAAATATAAAACCCAATGAAACAGCAGTAGTTGCCCCAGTGAACTTGAAAGCTGTCCATATGCTTGGAATCATGGTAGACCCAATATATATGAGAACCAACAAAACCACAGTCAACCCAAGAGATCTCTTCCTACTTTCTGACAATGGAGGTGATCCCTCAAACACTAAAGCATCCACAGTTTGGCGCAGGGAGAAATGAATCACGGGGAAAACAAGTATCAAATGAAGAATGTATCCTACCCTAACAATGTAGTTTATGGCAGAGCTAAACCTAACTCCAAGATCCTTATCAAAATTAGTCAACACATCAGACTCAGTATCAACCCCAAACAGAAGGTAACCAGATATGGCTGTGGAGGCGTACACCAGGATGCACAAAACCGTGGTGAGCCTCCCAACGCGGTTCATCTTCTGCGGCGAACGCTGCTCAAGCTCATTGTAAATTGGCTGCACATTGAAATGACAAACATATGCATTGGTCATGATGGGAATCACAACAAGCAAATCCAAAATTGCGCTTTTTGAGCTGAGATCAGGAACCATCCTGGGAGAATCAACCTTCCCTTCAACAAGCTTAATGAAAGCCACAGTGAAAGCAACAATCACAAACAACACAGCAAGCGCCACCGACGCCGCTGAGGTCAAACTCAACGAATCAATCTTGTCAAGGGAACAAAGTGGAGCAAGGAAAACCACCATAACAACAAGAATAACAAGCTTCCTCTGATCCCAAACGCCATTCCCCATTAACTGGTCAAAAACCCCCATGTGGTGAACCGAACCAGACATAACATCACCCATGATAATCAAATAAACGACCAAAACACCAGCATTGTTCACAATTATACAAATTTCCGACACAACCCTCGCGGGCCTTCCCATGGCGTGTTGCACAACCTCACCATAGGAGGATGCCTTACACATAACGGAAAACCTCACCAACAATTCGACACTAATTTCAGATAAAATTCCCATCACGATAATCAACACAATCCCCAAAGCCACTCCGAGAACTTTCATGGTGGCGGGAAGGGCCATAATCCCTGCACCAATAATCGTAGTTGTCAAATTGAAGACAGCGCCGGGTACTCCAGAACCCAGAGTGGGAGCCGGAACAACGAGGGGATAGTTATCGATGTCGATTTCTAAATCGTCTTCGTCGTCGTCGACCTTGGATCCCAAATAGACCTCGGCTTCGTCGAAAGAAGGGGATTTGGAGGAATCGGTTTGGCGCTGCAATTCAAGGTAGGAGGAGGTGATGGGTAAGGAAGAATAGGTGTTAGTGTCGTTTCTGTGAGACATGATGTGGGAGATCGGAGAGAAGAGTCTTTGGATCTTGAAAGAGGGAGAGAAAAGAAAGGTTAGGGATTTGGAGATGAAAGGATGAATGAATGAATGAAGCTAGATCTCCGTCAACCGAATAACATGAGAAAACGGAAGGTTAGGCTATTTTTTTGGAGAGAGAGGAAAACCTCCCTTCACTCCTCTCCTACCTCACTTTCTTCTACTCTTACTAATTTATTAAATATCTATTTTCAAATCACTAAATTCTTACCATCTACTTTATTAAGATTCAGAGTTTTGACTTTTGTCCAAGTCCAATAACGTGTATAGTATGTCCAGTTGAAGGCGTAAAATATGGGAGTCTGCACCAACACAACTAAGAACATGACATGTTACATTACTTTTACTTTTCATACATATCAGCTTTGGTCATTGCACCTAATGTATACAAATATAAAATTTTCTATTTTTAGGTGTTTTATTAAACTGTTTTTTAAAATAATAAAGTTTTCATCTATATATTTATCAATTTACTATTTTATAATATAATTTTTTATTATATATCTTGAAAACAAGAAACAAATTAAAAATAAGATAAAAATTTGTAATTAAAAGTGAAAAAATAAAATAAAAACATTTTCTCAAAATGACTATGCAATTAATTTGTGAAACGCGAAATGTTTAAGGAAATTAAAAAAAAAATAGAAGAAGAATAAAAAGAAAATAATCTGTGTTGACCATATAAAAGAATTACATTATCATTCATTCAGAATTTATCATACATAGTGAATTTATTTAATTTAAAAAAATAATATTTACAATAATTTTTAATAAATTGACGATGTAAAAGTTTTTATAGTGTGTTTGGACGAAGAATTTTACAAATTCAAGGAATTTTAAATTCTTGGTATTTGAATTATTTTGATTTCAATTTCTATCATTCTTAAAATATTTTGTTTGGATGAGTCAATTCAAATTTCTTAAATTTTAAATTGTTAGGTTGAATATGATAATTTGATTTCATCATAGTAAAATTGATTTTAAAAATATATTTATATGTTGAGATTTTTAAATTAAATTTTATAAAAATAAATATTAATCCATTTCTAAATATTTAATAATTTTAAAAATTAATATTAGATAATATTTAATAATTTTAAAAATTAATATAAGATAATATTTAATAATTTTAAAAATATTTTTGAATATCCAATAATTAAAAGAATGAAGAGATAAGATAAAATATATAGGTGAAATAAGAAAAACAAATATGAGGAATTTCAAATTCTCC